AATAAACGAATGGGTCGAGAAGCAAACGAATTCGAGGATTAAAGATCTCGTTAGAGCAGATATGTTCAACAAACTAACAAGTATGGTGCTTGTCAATGCGATCTATTTCAATGGTTCTTGGCTGAATCCGTTTGAAGATCTAAGAACTAAAAAAAAGACATTCTATCAGGCTGCAGACTCAACCAGAGAGGTAACTGCGACCTTTCTCGCTTTAGGTTCTTATCTGAATTCATTCTCATATCTCAATTTATTTACACATTTGATTACGTACCATAATTTCCATATCTTGATTTCCAGGTTGAAATGATGTTCAACGACGGCTATTTTCCATATTACGAAAACGACAAGGTTCAAGTTCTTGGTTTACCTTACGAAGGCTATCAGGTGTATATGTACGTCTTCTTGCCAAAAGACAAGTACGGCTTAGAAGAATTCGAGAAATCATTGAAAGGTGAAGAATTACTGAAACTGATTTCCGAAACGAACTCAATGGACGCCATCGTAAGCTCTGTCGATACTTATTATTTCTTCTTGGTGACAGCATTATTCCCTTTTCCTTACAGCGAGTGCACTGAAAAACTGTCGAAACACAGAATTGTTTGAATCGTTTTTGATGATGGTATTCACTATCAATCGTCCATATCATTCGNNNTTTCAGGTTGAATTGCCGAAATTCAAAATTGAGGAAGAATTCCAGTTGGTGAAAGCACTTAAAAAGATTGGTATCGTTGATGCATTCGATAAGGACGCCAACTTCAGCGGGATTTTGTATGACCCTTTGAAGGCTCCCAGTGATAATAAAAAATTCATTGAGGTTTGTTATTTCATCTGAAGAGTTGCTGAAACTGATTTTCGACACGGGGCGCCAGGGTAACTCAAATATTCGTTAGATGTTATTGACCAAGGCTAGTTCTATTCGTTGACGGTTTTCCAGCGGACTTCTCGATGGAACTCGAAAAGCATCTATATGTAGTACTATCTGAATTGTTTTTAGGACGATATTCGTTATGTGTTGTGCATTTAATTCGTTGCGATAATGTTTATAAAATTTGATATGAATGAAAATGACTGAAGCATTGATTTCAGGAGAGCATCTTATAACATATAACCAGCAGAAGGATTCCTATAAAACATTCATATAAAAGACAGTTGAAGATAATGCTAACTTCAGGTTGAGTTGCCGATACTCATGCTTAACGAACAATTCAAGTGGGTTAGAGTTGTTAAGAAGTTTCGTACCGTTAAGACATTCGGTGATAACGCCAACTCCAACGGGAATAGTGATGTTCCGTTGCAGATTTCCGATGTTATTCATAAAGCTTTCTTTGAGGTTCGTTATTTCATATGTCCTGGATAATTTTTTTTCGTCTAACAATTCGTTGTAATATCATGACGAGGATACGTATTGGTTACTGATCACACTGCAAGGGAATCAAGCATCATGGAGGTGGAGGACTCTTCGGAACACTTGCGCAACGATGGAAAGAATGATTCTTGCGCTGCAAATGATACTTTGAATAATAACTGAAACTTGTGCAAAAATTTTTGATGCGTTTTTTAAGCTTTCGGGAATGTATTTATGACTGTTTCTGCCGCAATTTACTTCAGCCTAGAATTGCGTTTTTTTTAGACATGGATTGTTTACATGCCAAAAGTTTGCCTCTATCAATGTGGAACCCTCTGCATTATGAGATAGGATCGATTTTGATGCGATTTTACATGATTATGATTGAATATGTTTAGGTGAACGAGAAAGGAACAGAAGCAGCCGCAGCAACTGCTATCATCACTAACCGAATCACATCACTGGAGTATATTCGCCCTCGCCCACCTCCGGTCAGGTTTATTGCTGATCATCCGTTCATGTTTGCGTTGGTCAAGAGCAATACCATTCTTTTCATTGGACATTATTATTGATAAAGAGAACGTTCTTCACACTCGTAATTTGGTTAAGTGAATTATTTGTGTGTGAATGTGGTGTTTTGCAGAATATCTTCAGAGTCAATTCCATTTGACATATCCTTCAAAATAAGTCATTTGCGTCGAATCGAATACGTTTCGTTGTTTTAAATGTGTGTAATTTGATAAATAAACGATACCTTTCCTCTGCGAAGCATTTGCATATAAATTCACACCATCGAAAATTGTAGTACAGTTCCGTATAATTGCAACAATGATATAATCCGGGCGCGTTCATCCGATAGTGTCAAAATCAACGTGATCGTTGAAGTGTGGACTGATAACTGACATCAGGGTGTTAGAATTTGGTCGTGAAACGGTATATAGCTTTCGATTGAAGCTTTTAGTCGAATATGGAATTGGACATGTTTTGCATTGTGTCATTGTTCACATTTCAAACTCATCATTTCTGATAGGATGTTCGCCACTTCGTGCAAGGTCACCGCAATCGTGACCTTATAAGGCTCAGTCTTATTGATGATCAACATTCAGATCAACAGGCATACAACAACTAATTCACAAATACTGAAAAGCTATCCGTACTGAAGATGTTGCGTGTGTTTTACATGTGAATTGTGCTCATAATTGGCCTAGAATACCTCTCCTCTGCAAAGATTGCACTTCAAAGAGTATCATTAAGGAGATTTCAAGCAGTCAGAAACAATGCGAACATATGTGTGAACATAATTGCTCGTGCATACGTTTTCAATTGTTTCATCTCAATTGATTGATGATTCTGTTGCTCGAACGCTAGAATTAAGCTGATGAGTATTTGTGATTTTTTGCAANTGGAAATTTTTTGTCTAATTGCCCGAGAACTTTTTTCCATACCTAACAATTATCTAATTGAATAATCCTCAAAATATCAACTGAAAACTATTGATGCTCAACGTTTTGCTAACGTTTGATAAACTGATAGTGAAACAGTTCGGTCGGAATTGAAATTATGCAAAATGAACTGATGTGAGATAATTTTGATTGGAATCCATTCTAATTGCACATCTAACTTAACACGCTCACTAATAGTGCCATCACTAATGTCCAATCGTCATTCTTGACTCATAAATTGCAATCGCAAATCGTGAACTATAATTGAACGTTGATATCATAATTATTATTATTTCTATTGTAATCGAATCATTGTGACACCCATTAAGTTCAATAATCTTGCGTATTCTAACGAATCGCGTATCCTTTTATTACCGAATATGCGCGCTTGCAGCGATCGTAAATCATGGAATTCGATCATCGTATTCTTCATCGCATCGTCAAACCGCAACGGTTCTGTTGCGATTTTGGAATTGATTGCACCTAGAATGATGTAATACCTTAACGTGAACAATTTTATAGGCTTAAATTACCGACTACCTACCTTCACTTTCTATCGCTTTCCGCCGGTTCAAGGTCGTGATTGAGCTTCAAAAAAAAACAAAAAAAAAACAACAGAGCCTTTCATTTGAAATCACTACTGAATTAAATTCTTTCACAGTTGTGCGGATGATAGGTATGAGTTCA